TTTTTTTTTTTTTTTTTTTTTTTTTTTTTTGTTTTGTTTGAATTTGCGAATTCTGGTGGCGATCAGCGAGATGGAGGTTCTCATGTCCGCCGTACGATGGCTGATGCACGACTGGGCGAACAGGAAAGAGAACATGTTGGAAGTTCTGAAATGCGTTCGTTTCGGATTGATCGCGCCGTGGCAGCTGGTCGACGTGAAGAGAAATCCCGAGAATCCTGAATTTATGGAACTCATGTCTTCGCCCGATGTCCAAAAAATGGTCGACGACGGGCTAGCGTAGGGATCGTGTTTCTTTTCTTTTCTTTTTTTTTCACACACTTTTTCGAAACGATGAAAGATTCTTATCCTGCGTTTCATATCTGCAAAATTCTTCCAGTTTCGTCATTATAAAATATTGGTACGGCAATCAAACGGAGGATTACTATCACTGGATCGACTTACTGGGACTCACGGAACCGACCAATCGAAACTGGGCTGGAGAGGACAAGGTATCGAAATTGAATTTTTAAAACGCTCGTTTTGTGTAAGACACTTCTGAATGAAATTTGTCGTTTTTTTTTTTTTTTTAAAGAATTATGTGACGTATCGAGAATTTTTACTTTATCTCGAGGAGTATCAAAAAACAAAACTTTCCGAGTTGAAGAAGAGAAGAAATTACCAGAAATCTCTCAATTCCCCTCATAACGATTACACATTTACGATGTCCAAAGGGCCGAACAACTTTGTCCAGAGTTCAGGTATATTTATAATTTCGAATCGAGGATATGGAGGATACGAAAGTAGAAAAAAAGTGTTGTAATATAAATCGTTGTAAATCGAAGGGAAAAATTGTTTAGGCGATACTGGTGTTATTCACGGGACAACGATGCACACTAGACATTCGAAACAAATACCATCGAATTATTTACAAATGGAGATGCCAGAGGGCATGATGATACCACCGAAATTCATGAACGAATATATAAACAACGTAGAGAAAAGCAAAGGGGTGAGTAACCCTGGGGCGAATCGAAGATCGACGCAGCAACCTCAAGATGGACCGATTCATTGAACGATGAAACTTGCAAAACTCGTGATACACGTCTTTTTTATATAATTTTAATATTACCTTTTTCTTTCTTTTTTTTTTCAATCGAGTATCAATGATTCTTCGTGTCGTGATCTTGCGTAACAAAACCGTATCATCTAGATATTGTGTGTGTATGAGTGTCAAATATTTAGTTTATATATATATATATATTTATCGTGTATCGTATATTTATTTATCATTTATTCGATTTCTATAAGAAAATATACGTGCATGCGTGAGATTTGATAAGACGTGTGTGTACGATATATTTATTATCGTGTTCCCGCGATTTCGAGGCGAAAGCGATCGAGGGAAAAGCGTGTAACGTGGCCTTGGATGGGAAATATAACCCATGGAAACGTCGAACGGTGAGTCGTTTTGCAATCGAATCGATGAGGAGAGATCAGATTTGCCCCATTTCAAAATTTCCTCTGCTTGTTTTTCAGGGATTGTTACGCGGTTATCGTCAAAGAAATCTCGAGGTAAGCTTACGTGCTTGTAAGTGGTAAATGATAAATTTCACCAAAGTGAAGCGTAGTGTGAAAGTCACGGAGCTGTAGTCAAAGGTCAGAGTTTATGTTGCTCGAAAATCCGTGCTTTAATTCTGAAAACCCTTTCTGGGGGATCCATTATGCACCGCGTTGCTCGTGGAAACAGCACTTACAGCGTATAAGCTCTTACCTTGAGATTACACAGACCCCGTAACAATTTAGCGTCCGTTAATTACCCGTCAAAACGATCCCATTAATTCATCGCGGTTAAAGTTCGAGCGTCGATCTTGCTCCCGTTATACGTTCGAACGATTTTCTATTTCTTTCGATTCTCCTTGTTTAATTAAAAGTTACGTGTTTATTCGATTAGAAGCAGCTAATTGAACGATCTATAAATTATACATGAGTCGTGTACCAGTCTTGTTAAAACATCCCTGACCTACATCCGACTCGGCGTACTCAGTTGAATTCGTAACAATGAAAAATTAGCACGATCTTCCAGCTATTAATTCACCACGTAACCAACATACACTCTTCTTGTAAATTTTCGACGAGATATTATTCATTTTTATTCTCTTCTCAGACAATAAATCGCACAGAAATCCCAAAAATTACGCGTTCGTATCGACGAATAAACGGGCAAAAGTTTTAAGTTTTTTAAACTCTTGTCCTCGTTATCGTACTAAGTTCTAAAAATACTAATCTTCTCATTTTCAATTTTCCAAAAATATTTTCTCAGGCGAAAAAATTTTCAAAATTAATCAAATTTCGTATCGAATTTCAGAACGACGAGAGGAGCGTAGCCTTCGACACGAGATTCACCGGTGGAGGGGAATCGCTCTCTCAGAAGCTGTACAGGTCGACGGTCGAGAAATACACGCAGGAGCAGTGCCAGCGCGGCGTGAATTCATCGGTAACACCTTGTCGGCCGAGAGATCTCCCTCGCAAGGGAGAGAAACTTTCTCGAGACATCCTCTCTTTTTTCTCCAGAACGTCGATAAATTGGATTACGAGAACCGGCGCGAGAAGAACACGGCGGATGTTTGCCGGTGCCAGCAGCAGCAGCGCGAGTCGAATTTCATATTTTCCGTGAAGAAGCAGCACCCGACGAGACGTAAGTTCCCGATGGAACTGGAAGAGCGTACAGACTCCGGCAAATCCGAGGTGGAGGCCGCAACCACGATACAGGCAGTTTATAGGGGTTACAAGACTCGGAGGAAGATCGATGAAGTTGGTGGATATACATATATATCTTACAGCTTTCCTCTATTGATCTTTTCATTTGAACAATTTGAAGAAATGCAAAGAAGATGTCTTTATTAACACGTTATTATTGTCCATTTTTCTTGTTTAACGTTTCGAAAACTTTTCGTATAAAATTGTGAAATGAAAAATTAGTCGAGTTAAAACTTGAAATGTTTATCATACAGGAATTTTTGAACAGTTATAATAATACTTTTTTCTTTTTTACAAAGTATTCGACATTCGATTCGTTTTCTTTATTAATGGCAGATAAGAAAATCAACGTCAGAGGAGAAGCGGAATGTGAAGAAGGTAGCAGAACTTTTGTCTATTCCAATGGACGAAACGCTACGCAATTCCTCGATGGAGCCGATCAGAATTTCAAGCACTCCGGTAAATCAAATGAGAAGCGAGAAGGAGGAGATAGCCCAACTGCACTCGTTGAGCCCAAGAAATAAAAACAGAGGACAGCCGATCCTTCAAAATCAAAGTAAACGTTGCGTCGAGGATCAAATGAATCAAGTGAGAGTGCATGGAAATATTATTCTTTGAGATAGAGAAGAATCTTGCTTTATTGGAAATCTCAAATTGCAGTACGAAATGCGTGGTTCTGGTTACACGATCAACGAGGAACAACGAAAACAGCAAGTTTCTCAAAATTTAACGGCTCAACGGGAAACGTTAAAATCTATCAAGATGATAAAATCGCCCATGTTTTTCTCGAAATTCGACGAAAGAAACAGTTCCTTGTCGAACACGGATACCGACGATCTTTCCTCTCCGCGAATCGAATTAAAATCGACGGCAACGAATATCCAGCAGAATGTTTCTGGCGAGAAAAACAACGAAATGAATTATCCCGATGGTGACAATATTCAACGGCTCAAACCCACCATCAGAAATGTTCAGATTCGAGCTATGACGAGCTATAAACGACCTCTGTAAATATTACGTAAATTTTTCGCAAATATTATAACCTAATTAATAAAATTTTTAAACAATTTTTAATTTCTAAAATAATTATGTACATTTTTAACAATTGTATTGCACAATTTGAAATCACTTTTTTTTAAAAATGAAGAAATCTATTGATTAATTGCAGCCCACAAAAAATCAGCGACAGCATGATAGCAACCAACGATGCCGGTTACTTCTTCGACAACTCTTTGTTCTTTCCTGACAGAGAATCGGTCCTCGTGTTCGGTGGCGTCGATCCCCACGAGGAATATGGCCGACCCGGGAATACCGGCAAGGACATATACAGGTTTAAACCTGATCAGAACATTTGGGAATTCGTGGGGGAAATTCCACGAGCGAGGCATCATCATTCGGTCGCTTACTTAAGAGGTCGCATTTATATAGTAGGTGAGTCGAATGAGTGACGAAACAGCGAAGTTTGTAACGTTATAAAAAAAAAAAAAGAAAAAAAGAAGAAGAAACACAAGGATTCTCATTCCAGTTACGTGGCATTTAAAAGAAAAAAAAAAAAAGGCTCCTACCGTAGATAATCTTCTTTACGGCGTTGTTTTCGAAACCGCGAAAAGAGCTTTACCGTTCATCCTATTGTGCAATATTTTTTGTCAAGAAAGATTTCAAGATGTTGAAAAAGTGAAAAAAAAAAAGAAAAAAAGAAGCAGAACAACAAGGATTCTCATTCCATTTACGTAGCATTTAAAATAAAAAAAAAAAAAGACTCCTACCGTATATAATCTTCTTTACGGCTTTGTTTTCGAAACCGCGAAAAGAGATTTGTCGTTCATCCTATTGTGCAATATTTTTTGTCAAGAAAGATTTAAAGATGTTGAAAAAGTGAAAAAAAAAAAGAAAAAGGATCAAAAAAAAAGAAAAAGAGAGAAACATTTTTCACCAGGTGGAGCCGATCCCTTAGAAGACAAACTTCATAGGAAAAGCTTCGCGGTTGGAAGCGTTTGGAGTTACGATCCAACTACCAGGACTTGGTTCAATGAACCTGGCATGCTGACAGCTAGAAAGGACTTCGGATTGGTGGTCAGCCACGGGAAAATGTACGCGATAGGAGGGCAAGGAAGGAACGGGATGTGAGTTGTTACACAGACGGGGAGAGTGTAATTACGTTGCTCCTTCCACGTTTTCCTTACTGCTTATTTCTATGCTACGTGACGATAATTAACGACTAATTTAAGCCTTCATAATTGTCACCGGTGTCACGGTGTTAAACCGTAACGATTTGCATTTACGTAAAATGCGAAAAAGAAACGGACAAGTCGTTTCACATCCTATCCTATAATATTCAACGGTAAATAAAAAAAGAAAAAGAAAATCAAACTTGTTTACTCTCTATTGCAGAGCTTTGAAAACGGTGGAGGTTTTCGATCCATCGGACTCCACGTGGAGAGAGGTGCAATCGATGCAGATCGCCAGGGTGGGACCTGCCACTGTGAAATATCGAGATCTTATCTGGGTCGCTGGCGGAATGACAAAATCGAAGAAGGAGCTATTCTCAAAGGAAGTGGAGTGCTACGATCCGATCAAAAATTTGTTAGCTCGATTCCATCCTTTATAGTTCCCTTCATGCGTTCCCTATTTCCCATTACCTGGATTAAACGCTCGATATATCGAGTATAGAACGGTAAATGCTGGTCGGTAAAAGCTGTTATCGATGCGCTCTTTTCAGATGGCTGAAAGCGATACCTTTGAGGTCACCGAGGTGCTTTGCCTCCTTCTACGTGATATCCGACTGTCTTTACGTGATCGGCGGAGCATCGACCACGGAAAACGCCACTCAGAGTATCGACAGCATCGATGTCTGGGATGGAAACGATTACGTTTGGAGAGAGCACACGAATATGTCGATCGCGAGACACGGACATTCCACTGGTTCTATAGGTCAGTTTTACATTACAGACGTGATATATCCTGAGCAATTTTTCTTCTAACGGTTTTATATATATATATATAGCGATATAAGATATAAATATATATTTGTACAGTAATATCAAATAGTAAAATTTTTTAAATTTAGATTGAGAATTACACGTATATTATATAAAATTTAATAACTAAATAATCGAAGCAAAGTTTATATAATTCATAATTTTTATGCACTCACCGAAGACTGCTTAATGGAATGTTTCTTATTTAGGTGATCAATTGTTGATAATTGGCGGAGTAACCACGGTGTTTATGAAAACCTTGAATAGCGTTGAATGTTATTGTTGCGATATGGGGAAATGGATGAAAGGTGTATCCGCGTTGCCGCATCCGGTTTCCGGTCACGGAACCGTGTCTTTACCACCGGCAAATCTTTTAATAAATCGCTGATAGCTGTGAAATAAAAATTGACATGTTTCTTTATATGTTTGTTGTGTTTGATAATCAATGTATTTGAGTATTTATTATATCATTACCATTTGTATTTCATTATTTCTAATTATATATCATACCACTTTTACGATTTACACATTTTTTTATGAGCCTTTTAACCGTGCAATATAATATTACAAATTATATTTGTAATAATATTTTTTTTATTATTTTAGATGTGTAAGAATTTCATCTAAAATAAATGATAAAATAAAATTCTTGAATCACTAAACACTCGTAAATATCGAAACATTATTAATAATAAAGGTTAAAAATTTATACTTCTTCCAAGCAACACTTTTACTTTCTAGACTGGTCACCAGATGGCAGTAGCATTCTCCCCATTCGGGAGCCGCCATCTGTCAAGGGAGTCGCGTGTTATGAACCGCAAAGCGTGTGTGGAAGTTTCGAAAAAGGATTCGGATTCGAATGCGGCGAGGTAACTAGCCGCCGTGCGGATAAACGCGAGTTAACCTGAAAATGGCCGAATCGTGTGAGTCAGTGGTGTCAAGTATAGTGACTAGTGTTGTGTCCCATGGACAAACAAAAGTGCCTGAAACACCATGCCAGGAGGACGCGAAGACATCCGGTTCCCCCGGTATGTAAGCTCTATTAGAATATCCCATGATAATTTGAAAGCAGTTTATTCAAACGCGACTGTCGAGCGCGACCATGCAACAAGTGGCACGGAGCGCTCTCGCATGCCTAACAGGAGCGTATGGGGATATTTATGGGCCCGTTTAGACCTGTTCAGTATCCCGGTATTTTGTAGCTAACATGTCGCCGTCGATCACGTGACTCATCGTTGACCTATGCAACTTAATTTTCGCGCGTATGAAGTGTCAAAAATGTCGGCAAATCACTGATGACATTTTTCATAAATGTCAGAATCCATAAAAAATATATTCAAATATTTGGAAATCATTTTTTTTTCTCATCATGATGACGAATTTGTACAATTTTAATATTTTATTTCTGAAATTCCATTTCGATTTATTCGGATTAGATTTTAATATCGTTTTAATTATATGTATATGTATTTTATTGAAAATCGCCACAATTATGGATTAAATGTTACATTACTAATGGAAAGATTATTTCTAGTCAGACAAAAGATAGATAGAGATAGATAAGAGATTGTGAAATAACTTTCTGTATCAGAATAATTACACAGATATTGAAACTTGATCATAAATATATGAGTGTATTATAAAACGTATTTTTAAATTTAATCTATATAAAACTATGTAAAATTAATGACAATTATAATTGATTTTATTCACCGTTAGCAACAGTTCATAAGAACATACCTATGAAAAAATACAACAAGTTTCTATACCGGTTTTATTTTATTTATTTCATCTTCGTTTAACTGACTTCGAATTTTTAATTTTCGTGGTGGCGCTATTAAATAAGAAAACTGCTAAAATCCAATTTACCGAAAACATTGTTTTTTATATCAATTTTCATATGTTATTTTTTTCATTTTACTTTAAATGTTTAAAAATCTTTAGAAATGTGTTTATAAATGTAAAGTACATTAATTATCGAGAAAATTTTACGTAAACTCCCTTATCGACAAAAAATGATACCATGATAACTTATCCGCGAGATTTAAATTACTTTAGATATGCGAGATTTCTCTTATATTACCTGTTTTCATTATTCGAATAAGTTTCATTTGTATCACAGTTAATGACAAATGTGTTAAACATTTGTTATTTCCTTTATCATGGATCGGTATATTCTAACATCTTTAAAAATAAAATTTTGGGCAAGTATGTTTATGTGCATTAGAAATAAGAGTTCTGTTAAAACATAATATTAGTTTTAATCTATATTATTAGTTTTGTTAATTAAGATCGTGTGATATTTCTTTGTTGGTTTGATTTTCATCTGTTGTAAAACCTTATTTCTTCAAATTGAAACAGATGGCGCGATAGAATCTTATAAAATGATGATGAAGATGGCGCAACCGTAAATTAATCTATACCATACGTATAACCTAAACGAAATATTTACTTAGAATGAGTTTTGATATGTCTTTCATTTTTTTTGGAGGTTAAGATTATTCAAAAATAATAAAAATGTTAGAACCAATTTTAGTTGAAGATATTACTTTCACAAAACTAGTGCCATCGTTAAAGGGAATATTAAAAGATTTAAATAAAAATTCTGTTCATCATGATTATATTGTTGCTTTGATAATTGTTTTATTAGCAGAGGCTGGTTTTTATCCGCTATCGAGAGATAGTGATCGTTTGCAATGGTAGGCATTATCACTCGATAATGTGTATATTTTTCTAATCATTAATTGTATTTTTGTATTTTTTAAAATATATTTTTCATAGTTCAAACTTGAGGTCTCTTCATATACCAAAAAATTGGAAAATAGAAAGCACAGGAATGTATAACATTTATTTTCAACTAGAAACTGTACCACATATAAAATGCAAATTATTTGTATTACCTTTAGGAGATGAATTAATTGTAAGTTTTTATCCTATATTGGAAGAAGGAGTTGCGAGAAAAGGTTACAGTATGATGGTACAAACTTTAAGATACGTTAATCCTTATTCAACTGATCTTTCTGGACGATATTTTAATCTCAAAGTATTATCTCACAGGTATAATAAATTTACAATGATGTTAGTAATCTAAAAAGTATTATGTTTATTTTTATGATACTGTTTGATAGTTTTAAAAATACAATATCTACACCAGCACGTTCAGATATATTAATCAAAGCTGGAGTGATGGGTCCTAGTCTTCAAGCTATTCCAATTGAATTAAAGTACAGAATTTTAAAGTTGTTAGATGCCCGTACTTTGACAAAAATGGCACAGTGTTGTAAACAATTTTGTGAACTCTGTTCAGACCCACAATTGTGGAAATCTTTGATACAAAGAGACTTTCCAAATTTCATAAGAACAAGTCACAAAAAAATGACAAAAGATAAAGACTATTGTTATCAGGATTATATGGTAGCACGCCGATATTCTTCTTTTGCGTCGAAACACAAAAGTTTCGAAAATACAGATTTAGAAGATATATTTTTTTAAAATATACGAATATGTTGTTTTTTAATGTATTTTACAGCTTATAATGATATAAAAGAATTAACATTAATTAATTAAAATTGTAATGTCTTCAATTTTGATATAAAATAAACTAAACAGTTGTTTGTACAACTGTTTTTATGTATTTTTTCTCATTTTTTTTTGTTTTTTGCTTGTTCAGTTCATATTCATTCAATCCTTACACTGTCTTATACTAACTGTTGACAAATAAATCATGTAAAATTATCATTTAATAATATTTTTTCAATTAAAATGCATATTTTAATTTTGTAGTTTTGATTGACAAAATATACTGTAGAATGAAAATGCAATAATTGAAATGAATTTAATCCAATGATATTGTAGTATGAATATTACCTCAATTTCGTTGCAAGAATTTATATCGAATCTTTAGCTATGAATTTCAATGCATACAATTTTTTTTTATTTATTTTTTATTAATTTGTTGCCTTTTGATTATTGTATTTGTAAGATTTATACAAAATTAATCTTTAATGTATTTTAATATAATAATTAAAAATCAAACCTTCGATTATGTATAATATTTATACTTCTAACTTCACGCCTCGATTGTCTGTGAATGCATCGTTGCACAGATATGATTTTAATAAGTGGAATTTATGGACTGTCATTAAACTATTATTGCAACGAACTAATTTCCGGAACATTTGTAAAGCTATACGGCGTAATTACACTCGACAGACTCTATTTGAATTTCCCATTAAATAATTTCATATCGATCAATCAAAATGGAATTAATTTGTTCGAGATGACCTTTCCAACATCTATAAAATACTTTTCGCGTAAAAATGTAATCGTTTTAATAGTCTTTAATCGTCTCGTCAAATTATCCGTATCTCTTTTATTTTTCTCTTTTCTGGATCATTGTCATTGTTGATTGATCTATCAAAATTTGTAACGATTGCAAATTTTTCAGGGGAGGAGGCGACGAAATCACAGACGAGCGACGAGAGCCCTCAACAAGAGGAAACCACGACTCAGAGCAATGGCGATACCGGTGAGTGATAATCAAGGCAACAACTTTGCTTCTCGCTCTGCTGCGTTTCACTTCTCGTGGATACGTTAGATGGAAGCACACTTGGTTGCTTTTATCGATCTCGTTTTTCGTATCAGAAACGAAAATGCACCGTGGCTTACCTCGGGTGAAAACGATCGCCTCGACTCGTGTTCCGAAATATTATCGCGTTCGCGATCAATTTAATTACACGACATGATCGTGAGCATTTGTTAACACAATCCTCGATACGCCAATCGATTTCTCAATACGCAACACGAATAAATAAATTGCCATGCGTATCAAAGTTTCATTGCGTCGTTCAATTGTCTGTTGTCGAAAACCAGACTGTTCCGCACTCCATAATTGCAAAGTTGGGTAGATTGGTACTTCGATGCATGAAACATTGATTACCTCTCTTCCCTTCTTCCCGTTTCAATACACGCCATTTTTCCCCGCAACATTTTTCAGACAGACGTCGAAGAGGATGGAAATATTTATCAATCGTTAGAATTGTCTAAATATGAAATATATTTTGTTCGAATTATATTAAATAGAATTATTTAGATAGAATTATTTAGATAGAATTAAGAGAATTATCGAAAAAAAAAGTTTTAACCATAATGTATTGTTATCCATATACATACGCGAAATGTAATTGAATTCGTATGTTTTACATTTCTGCAAATCTGTTGATAATTGTTATTACATCTCTGATACACTGTTGAGAATACAATATTTTTGTATTTTCTGATTTATCAGCTGTAACGATTGTATCTTGATATTTCGACGTTTCACTCGATTTATATCCATCCATTTTGCAAAATCGAGAAAGCGGATAATTGGTATGAATTTATACAATGTATCTTTATTTATTAGTTTGATTTATTTGGCTTTTGTTAACTTCGATTTGAATATCTTTTCTTTCGATAATCATCATTAATTCATGTATCTTTTTAAAAGTTCCTTTATTCCAGCAGATAGAAAATTTTT